CGCCGTGGGGCTGCCAAGACAGGCAGCCCGGCTGGGACTCGCCCTGCACCGTGTGGGCTCGTCTGTGCCTATTCAGAGCACATCTCCAGCAGCGATACCGGGAGCCCTGGGGCAGCACAGCAGCCAGCCACACTCCCCTGGCACCCGCGCCAGACAGATCCTGCTCCCTCCCGTGCCAGCACCGCGGGCATCGCTGTCCTCTGAGCCCGGGCCCCACTCACCCTGTGCCGGCTGCTGCTGCCTGGGATCCTTTGGACCGGCTGGGCCGGGTGCTGAGCACAACCGTGCTCCCCACAGGGCTCCGGGGCTGTGCTCGACAGAGACCTCACTGTCACGCAGGGATGGTACCTTTTATTAGCCGAGGCCGAAGGAAGGAAGAGGAACCGCGTGCTCTCCACACCAAGGCTGCGCTCTGGCTGCCCGCCGGCAAGCAAGGTCGCAGGCAGACAAAGCACCAGTTCCCCAGGCCATGGGGGTGCCAAAACGTGTGCCCACAGGGACACCCTGACACAGCACAGGCCGGTCCCACGCATCTTGGTGGGGCGAGGGATGTCGTGGGCAGAGCCCTGCCAGCTGCCCATGGCCGTGCTCTCAGCAGGCACTGGGAAACCCGGAGGAAAGGCAGGAGCAAGGTACCACCACCTCCTCGGCTAGGAGAGCTGGCAGGAGATGAGCTGATAAAGTGCCATTAGCACTGGCCACTGTGTCTGTATTGCAGGGATCTTGCCAAGTAAACCTTATCTGCTCTGAGGACATCCAAAGTGGCCCGATAAAGGTGGCTGTAACAGGATCTCGGGTCTTGAAAAGCAACGTAAAAGCGGGAGGGAGGGAGGGATCCTCAGCAGGATCTGAGGGACAAGTGAGGTGTCCCAGCCCATGTCCACCAGCACCTCCTGGCTCCCCCGAAGGCTGCTCCACCTTCCCACCACCAGCTGCAATCCCCTCAGCCGCCCCACAGGCAAACGCGTGGGGGTAGCCTGTGTCTGCCCAGGGAGATGACACGGCTGGGGGCCGCGCCGCCGGGACGGGAAGGGGCAGGTGCTGCAGCCCTCCGTCACCAGCCTTTCAAAGCTGCTGAGCTTCTCCTGCTCCCTCAGGCACCCATGGCCTTGGCTCCACCGGCACCTTTCAGCAGTGATTTCGCCATCATCAGCAAACCAAACAGTTCAGAGGGGCAGCAGTGGGAACCGGCAGCGCTCACTGCTTCAGGGCACACAGAGAAGTGCCCCCCCCAAGCCTCAGCAGAGCCCCCGGACTCCTGGGGCAGCCTCTCACGCCTGGCCAGTCCCACTTGGACCGACTTCAGTGCACTCAGCGGGCAGCCAACACTTCCCTGAACATCCTCAGAGAGTGGGAGAATCGCTTAACCCTTCCCGAGGAACGAGCTCCAGCACCAGAGCTGCCGTCTGCTTGGGGCCACGGTCCCACCACCGTTAGTGCCGGTTCAGCGCACCGACGGCCCCGCGGCACAAACTGGATCCGGATCGCACGCCAGCGAACAATGGCATTTCTGTTGAATTAGCCGGCCACGGGGTCCCGTCTACAGACGAGACAGATCCAGTTGGAGGGTAGGCAGGCAGGCAGGAGCTGGCAGAGCGCCTGCCAGTGCAGCGCCGACCCGGCGCGTTTCTAGGAACCAACCTGGAATGCTGATTTATGTCATTTTACACCAGTTCAGCACCAGTGGCACTCGTCTGGAGCATTTCCCATCCTGCGCCAGGCATTCCGTTAATGGGCTTGGGTAACCCCAAACCTCACTGGGGGGACCTGGGGAGAAGAGGTGGTGGCAGTCTCCAGCTGAGGGTGCCACACACAGCAGCCGGGCACATGGGAGACACCATTCCATGGAGCTCACACAGGGCTGGGAGCAGGAGCCCAGGGAGGAGCAGTCTGGCAGGGCCCAAAGAAAAGCTGGACACGTTGGGTGGTTCTGAGCACCATTTTACTGAAGGGCTGGACACCTGCTAAGACTTCATAACAAAAAGTTCACTTCATTTAAGAAAAAAGACAGTCTGATTTTTGTCCCATTCCCTCCGAAGAGCGGAATAATAATAATGCTGTCTTTTCACTAAACAATGCCATTCCAAAATATACAACACTGAGTGTGGAGCAGCCCAGCCTCATATTAAACATTAAATATTAATATAGCTTCGGAAACATTCTACACAAACAAATGAAACAGTAAAAAGTTCACTCAAGAACAAGATGGTCAGTTGTTGTAAATTCACCATACAAAAGTTTGTTACTCGCCCTCCCGCGGGCTGCAGCTGCTGCTCCCCAGCCATCACTTGGGATCCCCGAACACCAGGATGCCCACGGCTGAGCCGGCGGCAGCGGTTCCAGCCGGAGCAGGTTGGTTGCGCTGTGGTGTGGAGACAGCTCTCTTAGAGACGACTGTTGGCAGAGACGAGCGTGAGGGGCCAGGCGGTACCCACCCAGAGCCCCCGCGTCCCTCCGAGCAGCTGCTGTGCCTCTGCTCGGGAAACGCTACTCCTCAGAAGGGCTGCACCAGGAATGAGGAGGAAGGAATGGCGTCACACACCGTGCCTTCCCTGCCGACACTCATTTCGTCCCCTCCCAGGCCTGGGCAGAGTGGCAGAGCAGGGGCGGGAGGGGAGGTATTTCTGGGGGTAGCTTTGCAGCACCTTCTCTTTAAAAACAGCACCGCGTGTCTGACTGCGTCTGTGGGAATCACCAGACTCTCACAGGGGCTGCCTGTAGCAACAGGAATGGAAAGGGCTAATTAAGACAACAAGGAGAGAGTCCCAGACGATAATAAGGCCTTTAAGGGACTCCCTGGGACAAGGCCTAATCGTCCCCGCAGGGGAAGGTATTTCAGATGCTCACCAGAGGAATTCCTACCTTTCCTTCGAGGGCGTCCAGGGGGTACAAGTCAGTACGCATAGGGTGGGGGGGGCTCTGCAAGCCTGGGAGCAGCTTATCTTCCCCGTGGCCACCCAAAAAGGGCCAGTTTGTGCGACTGATGAAGGACAGAAACCAAGGGATTAGGAGGGGCACCTGCTCCAAAAGGGCACCCCCTCACCCGCACCCCAGAGCCTGCAGCACCAGTGCCTGCGTAGCGCTGCCAGACAGGGCAGGACAGGCTCCGTCAGCTGGGCAGGGACAGAGTGGAGGCCACAGACCTGGCTCCTCTGTTCGCAGATCTCAGAAGCAGAAGCTGGCTGGCCAGGCGCTGCTTGGCCAGAGGTCTTTGGTTTGCCCTAATCCCACATACTCGCATTTTCACCAGACCTCCTCAGTCTTCCTAAGCAAACTGCGGGGTCTGGCCTCAGCACCGTGGCTTTGGAGAGAGCAGCCAGCCAAGCTGCGAGTGCTAGCACAGTCACGTCTACAAACAGGGTTCACTCTACACTCGGGGCTGATCCAGTGACAAGGGTTGGCTCTCCTGCCTTCTGGGACAAGATCTCTGCTCCACCAGCCAGCGAGGCACCTGGCACCTTCCTAACAGCACCCAGCTCCAGGCAGGAGCAGGCTGCGAGGCGAAGGCAACCTGAGCATGGCGCTCTCTAGCACAGAGCCCCCAAACGTGAGGGCCTGGGAGCAACCTGCCCTGCTGCCCTCTCCACGGATGGTGCCTGCCCACCCAGCTCACAAAGCCAAGGGCTGCAGCACTGTTGAGAAGGTGCGAGGTGCCCCAGAACAGCTGTCCTCTCCTCAGGCCACCTCAGCTCCTGGAAAGCCATCCCCATCTCACCACAGCAGCAAATGGGCCAGTGCCACTCTGAAGACTGAAGGAGAAACTGTCACTTCCACACAAACCAACAAAACTGCTTGAGCAGCAGGTGCTCCACACAGCTCAGCTCTGACACTGCCAACCACAGCCAAAACAAAGATCCTCCCACCTAAACCTGCCCTCCTGCCTGGGAAGCTGCCCAGCTCACCTCCCACTGTCCAGCTGCAGCTGAGAGACAAACCTGCTCTCTGTCCCCACACGTCCCTTGTGCTGTGGCCAAAGGCCCAGTTCCCAGCAGGGAACTTGGACCCAAGGGGGAGAACAGCTGGAGTGGCTGCAGCCCCCACGCAGGCTGGCAAGGTCTGGCCATCAACACTGCACAAGTCACAACTGCAAGGGCCCGAATTCTATGCTCAAGTCCAAAACCCAAGACCCTCCAGCCTCTCCTGCCACAGCTGTAGCCGGGGGACTTCCACCATCTCCACCAGTGGAGACGTACTGCTGGTGTGCGAAGGCGGCCTGGACGACATGAGGCAGAACAGGGGCAGCTGCGGAGCAGGGCCGCGGAGCTCGGTGCGCAGCATCACCCATCCACCCATGCTGTTCTGCTCCTGACTTTCCTGCGATGCTCTTAGCTGGCAACTGGCTGAACTCTGCGCAAGGAAACACCAGGCAGCGAGGGGTCTCAGCCCACTGCCCCCTGGCCCTGTGAGCGCGAGTGCTGCAGGCTGGGCGGGGGATGCCCTGGTCTGAGAAGTATCCAGCTAGGTGAGTGCTCACACACTCCACAGAGCACACCTCCTTCACACACTGAAATACAACTAGGTGGCAACAAAACAGGAGCAACAAAATAATCCCTTCTTATTCTGCAGAAAAAGTGCTTAAGAAATTCTGTACATGGATCGCTACGGCAGCTCGCTCTGTAGGGGAGAGGCAAACAGTTTGGAAGCAGGGGCACCACACTACATGGCTTGCAGGGAAGAGGCCAAGGAGAAGCTTCTCCAACTGAAAGTAGTGGCAGAAGGTGAAATCTGATCACAGTGGACATGAGCTTCAAAACATTTCTACCAATTAACAATGTGATTTCAACTGGTATCTGATGTCAGCTTCCCCTTCAGCTGCCTGCCGGACAAGCTGCTCTCCCCACGGACCTCGCTGACGGACATCTGAAGCATGCAGGAAGCTCAAGGACCTTGTCTGGTGGAGGCGAAGCATAAACTCTCGCTTCTTGGCAGCTGAATAAAAGGAGAAATGATTTCCACAAACTCAGTCGGAAGAACAGCCCTTTGACCGCCAGCTGAATCATTTCTTGAAGTGACAGTGGCACAAATCCATGTGGTAAAAGCATTCCTACGAGTGTCCAAAGCTCTCGGCTGTCACGGTACCCAGGAACAGCATAGGCCAGGTTAGGCACTTGGATGAATTCAAAGTGACTAATACAGAAATAGGTCTGAACAACCTGCACACAGCACACTCAGCAGAGACCACAGCACTCCAGGCAATGTATTTCTATGTGCCCTGCCTGTTACTGCTGCGCAGGTCCATGGAAGGCAAGTGTTACTCTGCTGTCACAGAATAACACGGGGTGGAAGGGACCTCTGGAGGGAGATCTCTGGTTAGATCAGGTCTTAGGCAGGTCTGGTTTGATCAAACCCTTTATCTTCCCTAAACACCAGACAGCAGCGTCCATAGCACAACCCCTTCTGTAGCCTCCTGCACATCAGTGTCAAAGGCCCAGGATACCTGGAGCACTGGCAACTGGCCATAAGATGAAGGACGGCAGCGCTAACCACCCACAGGCTGCAGGCACCCCATCTGCCAGCACTGGATGACAGGCAGCAGTTGCTGACATTGGCACCAGGGGCTGCAAAGTGAATAACAAGCTGCGATCCTTCTAGCCAAGTTTCCAAATCACCGGCGAGGAGGAAGAGGAGACATAAGGAGGGCAGAGAATTCATTCTGGTAGAGATGTGCAGAAGAGATGATAGAGACTGGACTGATGACGGGCAAGTCCCTGAGCACAGAGATACGGGGTGCTCCCTTCCCTGGCAGAAACCTCAGCAACACAGAGGCGTTTCCAATGCTCATCTCTCCCTGCAGAGCAGGAGACCTCTTGCTGGTGGCCTGGGAAGGACACCGGGCGAGCTGTTGCCACCAAGCATTCACAGAACTCAGCTCGGGGCCGGGAAAGGCATGGCAGCACTAAGGCAGTATGTTCTGCTGGATGTGTTAAGCAACAGTACAAGCCAATTCCTTGATTGGCAAAGACCCAAGCTGTGAAAGACAAGAGGTGATGGAGAAGAGTGGGGAGGCAGGCAGCAGCCAGGGGAAGAAACACACTGAAGAGGAGGGATGGGGCCTGATAAGCTGGCCTCAGGTGCTCAGCTTCCTGCTCAGGCTGGAGGAAAAGCAACCTCAACCCGAATTCGGCCTTGTTGATGCATGGGTTTTTTTCGCGCCGGAGGCCAGGCACTGAGCTGGGATGTCTGCACCACACGAAGAGGCTCCAGAGACAGCTCTCGGTGCCCTTATAAGGGGCTGGGAACAGGGGAAGCTGCCGAGCAGCCTGTCAGACAGCGATACCGCAGGCAGGAGTTCAGAGTCCTCCTCGGGAAACAGCCAAAAAGAGAAACTCCAGTGCAAGACTTCAAGACCTGGCATTTGAGAGCGTGGGAATGAGAAAGGTCTGAAGGAGTGGGAACAAAAGGGACAAAGCAATTTTTGGCCAGTTAACAGTGATGAAGGGTCCCTGTTCATCCAGCATCATGTCAGGACAGGGAACTCTCTGCCAGGGCGTTTTAAAACACAGAAGCAGAAGAAAATATTTTCTCCTCCTCTGCAGCCAACCAGCGGCATTCACAGGTCAGTCTCAAACACTGCAAGTTATGATCTCTGACAGCAACTCAGATACACACAGTAAAACCACACAGAACCGAGTGTGTGATTCAGAGCCTGCAATCATCCCCCTGAGGGAGAACTTCCACCTGCGCGAGGGCAGAGAACTCGGGCTGAGCCTCACGACACTCAGCTTCCCTGCCCTCTCACTCCTTCGTGAACCTCCTCTTCCCTCTCCATGCCACGGTTTTCCTCTCTGAGCTGGGGATCAGAGACTGACTGACCCCTTTTACAAAGTGCTGAAATCCAGCCAGGTGCTAGGGAGGGGCTGAAACGTAAGGAGCTGGGGCTTCCCAGGGGAGCTCAACCCTTCAGCCAATGTCCACAGAGATTACTAGGTCAGACAACTGGTATTTTAAGCTGGTGAGAGAATGAGTGGATTACTGGCCCACTGCTGAAGAGATCTGAACGTACGACAATGTACAGAGCCGAGCCCATGCCTGGCTCAATGCTGCTCCCTCTCCCTGAGCAGCCAGGTTCTGCTTTTGCAGTATCCCAACACAGATCGTCTCATTGAAGACTGTCCCTCCCAAGTGACAGCAGCAGCACCTACCGCTCCAACGCGGTGTTTCTCCTGGAGCTCGTGGATCCTTCCCTGCAGAGAGCAGTCTGTGTTCACATCTGACAGCGTGCCCCTGTCGAAGGAAGGCTGACACAGCCGCCCGCAGTGGTTCCGCAGTGCCTCCTGGGGACGGCAGAACCTGTGCTCCGGGAGCTTTCACACCTGCCACGCACCTTCTCACAACATCCCAGGCAGCACAGCAAAGCTGTCACCCTTCACAACACAGTCCCGATCTCCCCTCCTACTGCCTCACCCCCACAAACCGACAGAAAGACGCTCTCCACATTCACATACTGGCACATATCCTCTCAACTCTTTTGCTTTTCTGCTTTAATTCAGGTTCAAATATCCCACTGAGCTCTGGGACAGGATGTATCTAATACATTCAAACACAACCTGTGTCTCCCCTACCGGCTCCTAGAACCTGCTCCTGAAACATCCAGCAACAGCAAAGCAGTTGCATGGTAGGCAGGACACTTTCCACAATTCCTGTGAACAACTCCAGCCCTTTGGCTCTAACAGTCACAGTTCATGTTCTAGGTCTGCACCTGGGGTACAGGAGAGCAGAGCAACACTGGGTGCTGAGGAGGAATGGCTCTTTGGAAGCAAACCCTACCTTGAGTTCAGAGCTTCTGCTACCAACGAACGGAGGAGGCACCTAGAGACGTTAGGCAGACTTGCAGGCAACAGCCCTGTAACACTCCCCCGCTCTTATGCAGAGGTAATACCAAAAGTATGATTAAAACTGTAGTCAACTATCAGCTGGTAAATCTCCAAATTGCTTGGCATTTCTGGAGACAAACAAGTGGCTATAAGTGTGCCTGCCTTTGAGCTGCTCAAGAGAGCCCAGAACAGACTGTCACAACACTGAATCACAAAGAAATCCTGGCACCTCTCAACAAAGGACTGGCTGAAGGGGTGGGGGAACAAAAGCTATCAAACCCAATCCCAGAGGGATGGAGGAAGTGCATCTTCCCACAGTTCCTGGGCCATATGCACATATATGGATATATAGATATATAGATAATAAAGTTATAAAATTTGATCAAAATAAAACCAGTAAATGTACAGCTTGAAAAAGAGCAATATCACAGTGCATCAATGTCATGAGAAAGTCCCGTGTTCTCCCCCTGCACGAGAATGTAGCCTGCCACGTCAGAAGAGCACCCATAGGAAGCGAGCCCTCTGGCCTGCTCGGCTCGCTGCAGGCAAGAGTCACCATCCCGTGTTCCCAAACAGGGTTTTTGTATTTCTGCAGTCAGTTCTGCATAGCAGTGGTAGACAGGCAGAAACAGCGCGAGAGCAGGCTGCGCCGTCTGCAGGTTAGTTGACATATCATCACCAGGTACCAGAGATCCAGAGTTATTCTTAAACTTCTCCATGCTCTGGTGCCAGGCTCATATTTACTTACTTACAAAATAAAGTGACAAAGTGAAGAAACTCAAGGGACATTGTGAGAGTGGGACAAGGGCTGGATTCGGATTACGGGGGACAGGTTGACCCTAAGAATCTTCTGTGCTCTCCTCCTCACTTCATCGTCAGAGGAAGAGTTGCCCACCTTGATGGTCCGAAATTTCAGCAGGTTCAAAGTGCTCTGAGGCCGTCGAGATTTATTTCGGACAGGAATGGTATTTGCTTTCTTTCTCTGTGGTGCTTCTCTTGCCTCCGTAGCTCTTCTCTTCTTCTGCCCAACACTCTCCTGGTAAGTGCTGGTGTCCTTCCACTCTGTTTTCCCCACCAGAGCTTCCTTACCTTTGATTTTCAAGGTCTTGGACTGCGGTGCTGTGGTACAGCCTTGGGACGAGCTGCCTGTGACTCTCCCATTGAGAACTCCCGAGGCTTTGCAAGCATTGCTCTCCTGCAGGACTCCACCCTTTGGTCCCTTCAGAAGATTTAAAGCAAGGGTGGCAGAATCCGGTGCTTTCTTTATCAAACGCTTGTACCCCTTACCTTCCGTTATTTTAGTGGTCTTGCCTGAAGAAAACTGCCTTGGCGGATTCGAAGCCTTGAGGAGTTTAAGGTCTGAGTGCGAGATCCCTAGACGCCCTTGTGTGTACTTGGACTCCAAACAGGATGTCGTGGTTTTCAGCGGCACCAGAGCTTCCAGAACCACCGACAGTCTCATGGCTGGATACACATCAGGATACATGTTTGTAGGGAAGCCCACTGCTGCAGCCTTGGACGTGCCAGATCTCGTCTGTTTCAAGGAGCTCAACAGGATATTTGTGGAATCCCCTTTAGAGACAGGCTGAGTGGAGACTTTTGAAGAGTTCACCGAAATGCTGGTGGGAGAAGCAGACACCTTTGCCACAGCTGTGGTGTTTCTAGCCAGACTCTTGGCTGACTCGGCAGCGTTGGCGCAGTTGTGTGGGGTGCTCTCTTTTGTTTGACTAGGTGTGTCTGCCGTGCACGAGCTGTACCCATACACATCCTTACTCCTCAGAATTGTGGGCCGGTAGCCCTCCTCCTTCAGGCTCTGAATGAAGGCCACCAGCTGGGTCTCTGTGTCCGAAAGATCCTTGGACATCGGGTTGAAGACTCGGAGGGCTTCCTCCAGAACTTTTTGTCCTGCAGAGGAAATTCTTGACCAGGAATGGACAGCTTTTTCTTCCACATTGTTCACTGCAATATTCATGGCATTAGGCAAGCGGGTGCTTCAAAAAGGTCCAAATTACTGGAAAAACAACCCTTGACACCTCAAAAGACAGAGAAGATAGTTAGCTTACAGCAACTGAAATCACCTTGCATTTTTAAGCAGGGGCCTGAAACCATTAAGCTTAGGTGTGGCTGCTCACAAACATTAGGTCAGATTCTGGGCATAACCCAAGTTAAAGCATCATCAAGAATATCCCGTCACTGATCTATCTCTGAAGTAAAACTAAAACACCTCTTGCGGAAATATCCTCAAACCTAAACAAAGATTTCAGGCAACCCCAACCAACCCATCCCAAGCTGAAGGGTTCCAATTTCTCAGTGAAATCTGCAGCTTGTTTCCAGTTTGAGTTTGACACGCTCTAACTTTGGTTAACCAGATCTCATTTTTCCCTTGGTACAGCAGCCCTTCATTGAATCCTCTCCCTGCACACAACACTAAGCAGCCTGAGCACCTCAAATCTACCCTAGAATCACATTCAATTTTCCAGCTTTCTAATTGATTCTGCTCAAAAATTGATTCTGAGTCCCTGCCAAAGCTGCAGCACCCTCCCGAAGACAGCAGAGCTAGAGGCTACTTCAGTTGCGCTTCATTGATGCTGAATGCTGTGGCAAAGCAACACCGCTCCTTGCTGTTCCCTTGTTTGAACAACGGTCTCCAACTTGCTGTCACAGCAAACTGGTGTTGATCCAAGGGCACTCGCTGCCAAGCGAGGAGGAAGCAGGAAATTCAAGCAGGGCGGCACGAAGGAAACACACATCACCGGGGCCAAGCGTACAATGTCCTAAGGGACAACGCTCTGACCATGCTCAGGGCACTACACAGCTGTCTGCCCAGGACAAAAGCACTATTTATTACTTTAAATAAAAAAAAATAGGCACTGAAGAGCAGTCCACGCAGGACTCTGTGATGCACCCAGGAGAACTCTGATCCTCTCATACTGAGTTATAAAATCATTAGCTTCATTGATACCTCTCAAAATAATAAGGTTTTTCCCTGAAAAACCCTTCTCAGGGAAGTGCAGAAGGTGTTGGAGGGGAGGAGAGGGCAGTGCACAGGCAAGAAAGCTGTGGTGGAAAAGTTAGGGCCTGAGCAGACAGAGCAAAGAATTACTCATGTCCAAAGTTCCTCCCAGAACTCCAGTTTCACTGCAATCCTGGAGCCTGGGAGTGCCAGCCCCGGACTGCTGGCTGCACAAGCAGGGAAGAGACACAAGCCAAAAAGCTGCCGCAGAAGGGGAAGCACAGGTCAGCGGGGGGGGGGGGAAGAGCCCCCGCATGACAGACTAATCTCAGTCAAGTGTTCTGCAGACGTCACGGCAGAAGAGGGATTTGGAGGAGGATAATGCAGTTGCTCTGCGACAGGCAGAGGATCTCCCACGGAGGAGGGGAGGCAGGCAGGGGAGTGCTCCGACAGCCGTGACTGGCGTCATTGGCCAGCGGTGAGATCTGCCACCTCCAAAGTGAACAAGCAGTAACAGGCACAGTGAAGCCAGTGAGGATGTAAAGCTTAATCCCAAGCTGGTAGAGAGGGAGAAACACAACTAAGAACGTGCACTCAACAGGCTGCTAAATGGATCGATCATCTTCTGCTGAGAACTTCAGGCTGCAGCAAGCCCAGGAACAGCTGGGACACCTTAAGGGACATTCTGATGTTGAACGGAGAGGCTGTGATATCTCAGCAGGGACAAGACATCTCAACATCGATTCGCCCAGTCTTGTTTTGTGCAGTGCAAGTTGTAATAGGAGTGAAAGCCAGCCATAAGCAGGCACACCCAGACAGTCTGTCCACCCAACAGCAACTTTGTTCACTACAAACATTAGCAGGGGACGTGTCCTCGCTCAGGTGCCACGGGGCCACAGGCCCGCAGCACTCCTTGCAGGGATGCAAAACGCCAGCAGGACCCTCACGAAATGTTCGAGCAATGCCAGGCCCGGCTGTCCGAGCACGGCGCTCGAGGGAAGGGCTCTGTCGTGCATCGGAGGGGCAAGCCGGCTGCTGGCAGGACCCAGCCTGGGGAGAGGGAGGCTGATGTGGTGACCCAAGAGGGGCTCGGCGGGGACTGCCGGGGCGGGCAAACCCCCGGCTCAGCCTTTCCTCCTGGCCCACCCCTCGGTGGAGGAGATGCCCCTTCCTGAGCGCCCGTCCCTCGCACATCCCCTTCCCAGGCCCGGCTCGGTAAGGAGGGGCCGGCAGG